AATTAGGCAACTCTCAATCTTAGGCACGCGGCGGACGTGTGTATGCTTGAGACCCAATGCAGTCATGATGCCTACAATCATGCCTACAATCATGCTGCCGAAGAAGACAAGCAAGAAAAGACCGATGGCCTCAAACAGATTGAGAACAGTCAGGGAGCCTGCATCGCTGTCCGCATACTTCTGCGCGGTCTCAAACAAGACAATTGCAATTGCATCATTCAAGATCGACTCGCCGAAGATAACGGTGTAAAGCTTCGGCTCGACTTTGTATAGGTTAAAAATGGCGAGGATAGTAACTGGATCCGTCGCAGAGAGCGTAGCGCCTACAGAGATAGCTTCGACGAAAGAGATGTTCAAGCCATCCAACGGAATCCGCGTCCAGACAAACAAAACAAGTCCCAGCACGATAGCCGAGATAAAGGTCCCCGCAAATGCAAAGGTAAGAATAGTGCCAATATTTCGAAAAAAATTTGCCTGGTGTAGCTCGTACCCCGAGGCTAGGATAATTGGAGGAAGAAGGAGGTTAAAGAAGAACTGATAGTCGAATGTGACGCTGTCCTGAATGGGCGATTCGGGGCTCAACCGAATGATTAATCCGACAAACATACCTATAGCACCCGTGAGACGCCAACCACACAAAGACTTATGCTGATTGCAGGAAAAAAAAAAAAAAAAAAAAACCTACCAGCAAAAATAGAAAGGACAGTTTCATGGACCGCTTGGATCTTCTTCTGTTGGAGAATGTAACTGGTGAATAGCGCGAACATCAAGAGCATAATCAGAATAAAGAGCGCCCAAGAGCTGAAGAACTCCTTGGTGCCAGCTTCCGGAGCATCTGTCCAAACCCGTCATAGTCAGAGAGTGGTATTACGACCCAGATATTGGGCATTTCGGTGCGCACCTTCTTCAGGATCGGATTCGGAGTCCGCAGCTCTCCCTAGCAAAGCAGGAACGGTCAGCCATGGCGCGTTCAATTTCTCGGGAATATATCACATCGTGTGGCACGGCGACTAGTTTCTTTGACACAGTGACCGTGTCAAGTGAGAGCGCCCTTGACAGCAAAACGTTGGAATAATGGTGGGGAGGAGACATACGGATAATTTGATGAAGGGCATCGCCCATCAGTTGGCTAGCCATCCTTAAGAAGGCCACGCAACTACGACAGCGGATGACACCAAACGGTTAACTCCAGCTGCGAGTGTCTGGCGCCAGACCAAGGCGCACATAATCCACTGACAAAGATAGAGTGACAAGAACACACGTGAGAGGAAAGAGAAGCAGGAAGATGAGATAGGTAGATCGGGACAAGTAATCAATGGTCAGTGGTCGCCCGCATTTTGCCCGATGACCTGCCAAGGAAAGCAGTCCCGCCGGTTGTCCGCCCGCTGATCATTCGGCACGTTGCATGCCGTAGCTACTTCCTACTACTAGGACCTATAGATACGCCGTAACCAACATATTATACGCGCTCATCAGTTTCTTATGTTAATTTCTTTCTCTTTTTTTCATTATTTTTTTTTTTTTTTTTAGGGAAAAATTACTACTTCTGACTTATCTTCAAACTATCACCACCATTTCGACTCGAACTACACAGATCTTTCACTTCGACCGATATCCTTCGGCAAGCCTGCTAGTCAGCCATGCCGCAAGCACTGCAGCGCAACCTCCGAACCTCAACACCCACCCAACACTATCATCCCAAGGCTCACCTCTAGGTTTCTGAAACATCTTAAATATAGCACTGCATATCAAGCTGGACAGGATCTGCGGCGAGGAGACCGCCACATTATGAAGCCCGAGAATGATTCCCGCCTGGGCTAGATTTTCTTCCTCGTCCGTTGGCTTCCTGGGCCCATCCTCTAGATCGCCAACGCCTGTGGCAAAATTTGGCTGAGTAGAGTTGTTAGCGGAATACTGTGCCGCCATCTCTGACCGATGTTGCCGAACCCGACGTTCGGTATCAATCCGTGCGACCTCTGCGGAGATGAGCGCAAAAGGTGCCCAGAGCGTCAAAGCCCAGGAGATACCGACTATTCCAATCACCACTGTCGCCGCTTGATGACTATAGATAAAAAAGGTGCTAAACATGCAGAGCGCAAAGAGTACATGAGACAAGAGCCAAGCTCGGCGGAGCGTAAATCCTGGGATCTGCAGTTTTGACAGCCACGTTGATCCGTCTGTGGCTTCGACATTTTGCTTATCCGGAAGAGTCGGGGGCGGCTCCGACGCAGTACCGACTGGTAGGCTTGAGCATGACATTCTTCTTGTTCCTAGAAATGGCCTTCTCTCATCTGAAGGCGTGTTGATATCCTCGGATGAAACAACAGATCTGTAAGTAGGGACAACGAAAATAGGCAATGTTATGTTAGCAACAAACGAAATGATTGCATATACAAGAAGGGCAAACGTTCCGATCCTAGTAGCTTTCTCCCAGGTCTCGTCTATTTCATTGTCAGGAAGGTTCGGGTGCTCATCGAAGATTGGGTTGACATAAAGCTGCCCGATGTACGTGGTAGCGTAGAAGAGGAAAGGAAACCACCCAACCCATGCAGCCAGTTGGACTTCACAAACTTTGGCAATCTGGGGTGGTAGGTACTGGATCGACTTGAAGACTTGTCTGAAGAAGGTCACAACACCAGGATTTCCGATAGAAACTGAGGATTCAAGCCGCGGATCTCGTTCCTGGATATATAGACAGCTGATCAATAGCGTGATAATAAGTGATAGCGATGCTATTGCACACAACACTTTGAACTGCGTGTTTCCCAATATTGGGAGATAGCGGGGCAAATCAATATATCCAAAAATGTATCCTAGAATGTTGCCCACGCCAGTGAGCCGGCTAGCCCACGCGTTCGCTGATTCCTGTTGGTGCGCCGGCGCGTTATCAACGATAAAACACCGAATGCCTGCTTGAACTGTACCCGTTTAGTATGGTTGAGCCAAAGGGACGAGATAATCAGCCTTACCAGTGTTTATAGCGAAATCTAGACAGTACATCAAGATAGTTGCAAAGGCTATGATCGCCGTCCTAGTTCCTGGAGACGCCTGGTCGACGCCAAATATACCGAGGAAACCTCCTACTAGTTCTCTCACCCACGCAAGAGCAAGCAGAGCCACAACAGTGGCCAAGCCGCCAACTACCATGAAGGGCTTCCGTTTGCCCCATGACGAGCGACAGTTGTCGCTGCAGATACCAATATATGGTTGCACAAGCGTTCCTGTCAGGGGGCCAGCAATCCAGACGAAAGCGAGCAGGGCTTTGCTCATTCCCAGAGACAAAAGGAAAGGCTACATAGACACGTACATCAAAAACAAGGTTAACGCGTATTCCCACATGGGTGTCGGGTTAGATTTGCTTACCGACCCATTCGATAGTTCAACTGACCAGACAATTTGGAGTCTATGTTTTCCCTTGGTCAGTTTTGCCGTCTAGAGAAACCTGTGGTTTCATTGTGTCATAAGTAGGACAGATGACTTACCCACCAATACTCAACGTTAATAAGAAGAGATACCAGCTACTCTTTGTTTCTGATAAATGTTCAGGAGCCTCGGCTCCAATGCCAGTCTGCATTTCCTGCGCTGTTATTAAGTCGACGTCGTTATCGTTGTCTGGTCCCACTAAGGGGGACATCTCATCCGCTACTCGTTCATCTGTATCCGTCATCGGGGCGAATAAGACCAGAAACTCTTTCTGGTTTAGAAGTCAACCTCGGCTTCCACGGGGAACGTGTAACCTGCAATTTTCTAGCCCGGAGCGGAGAGGATGTGATGTATGAGAATGAATGTAGAGATTAAATAGATAATAGAAGGTAACGGTGGGTGGAGCAAATAGCTTGGTCTTCTTTTTCTTCGTGCTTCCAACGTCGCTATGAGAAGATTATATGCAGGTCGACGCGTAGCTAAAGAAGCGTTTAGTGTGTCTAGACCCTAGTGAATAGCTAGAGTCGAGGTACCCCGGACTCTTATGTGGACCAATCAATAGAAATGGATACAGAAGGTATCATCAAGGACGATCATTTGCAGATAGAGAAAGTAGACTACTTGATAGGGGCTGGCTGGGACTAGCTTCGAGGAAAGAAAGCAAAGAAAGGAGAAGAACGGATACACAAACCCGATGGAAACAAGCTTCCAAGACGATGTTAATGCAGGATACCTATCTTCTTGGAGAAGCTGGATCAATCGACGTCAGCAGGGCCGTCACATGACGTGGCACAACACATCATGGATGGAACGCCTGGAATCGAGATCCAAATGACGAACCATGGGTTACGGCGCATGTCAGAAGGACATTGTATTTAATTTACCGTAGTTTGTGGAGAGTCATTTATGATCTGGAGTGGTCTTCTAGAACTTCTGAAGCATCAATATTCATCCTAAGCAGGGGCATAATGAGAATCCCATAATATTCCGCAATATATTTGCTCCTCAAAAGCTATACGCCGCTTTTATTCCATCCCGCATCGTGCTTTCCCTCGTGATTCCTGCCATCCAGAATCCCCATATAGAGGAAAGAAAAATGATACAGAAAGTCCATCCAATATCAACATAGCGCGTGAGAAACAAATGAAAACAACCAGAAAAAAAAAAAAAAACTCAGAGCTAATTATGGTAGAACCGTAGCGTAGATGACGACCAGTAACACATGTACACACACCAAAATCCAACGCATTCCGGACAGTAGACTAGAAAATCGGCAAACCTGCACTGAAATTCTCAGACCCTGGCGGTAGGTTGGAGAGCAGAGATTAGAACACCCACTCAACATGTCTCAATAGCGTGATGTAGTAGTCCAGCAGCCAAGTCACAATTGGAGAATCTAATGGCTGGATTAAATGATTCAACAAATGGTATAAACAAGTATTCTAAAGCATGTAAAATATCCGACCCCGGACCATCAAAATCCACCGTAGGGATTACGGTCGGCAAAATCGGAGTCATTATTAATTTCGCGAGAATCGGGGAAAGTACCACTGGAGTCATACTTTCCCTCACGCCTTCTACATCTGTTGCTGTAGAAGTTGCGGAGCAACCATGTGAGGTGCCATCATGGTAGACATGGCAGAAGGCAGGGTCATGGCAGAAGGCATTGACGTGACGGTGGAGACATTCACCACGGTGCTTGGAATGGACTCCGAAGGGGACGATCCCTCATCCTGTGAACCGAGTTCGTTGTCCTCATTATCCAGGTCCTCGTCTTGCGCATGGAGTGGTTGTTGGCCATCCTGTTGAGCCTCATGGATTCGACGGTGTCTACGCGGATGGTCAGTGTATGCTTTAGGTACAATGCATTGTTAGTCAACTCACTGTGCAAGATTGTCAGAGCGCGAAAAGGCTTTGTTACAGTAAGGACAAGGGTAGGGTCTTTCCTGAGTGTGGGTTCTCACATGCCTATGTGACAATTGTCAGTGAGTGCTTACAAATACAGTCACAACGCCGCCAAATAGATAGGCGAAGTCAGTCAAGTTATTAGATAGTTGTAACTTACCGCTTCAGGTGCTCTAATCTCTTGAAGAGTCGCCCACATGATGGGATAGGGCATGAATGTGATTTCTGGGGATAAGGGCCAAGCTCCATCATTGTAGCGCTTCGAGCGCGGCGAACAGGGCCGGGAACAAACCGCTCCGCTTTGTTCATCACACTGTGCTGCGCGCCTGTCTCCAGAACATCGCCATTAGGAAGTGCTGTCAACTCATCAGGATTCGCAAGTGGCATGGCGCTCTGCTCAGGATTTTCCTCGAGGCTTGAAAGTGGCGTCCCATTGCGAGACATCTCGTGTAGCAAATTCTTCTGCGGAAGGGCGCCCGTCGGATAACCGTTCATGATACGGCGGGACGAGTCATGACGTGGCTCTTCCACCTCAGCGAGGGGGGCCACCGAGCTGGAAACGGAGCGCCGAAGATCACTTGGCTTATGAGCAGCATACGCAATTGGTTGAGAGGGTCCCGGCGCTTGAGCATGAGTGGGAGTAGCGATCGGGTTATTAACGCCCGGTGGTATCGAGGATCGACGCCGCCGTTGCTTGTATGTTGGAGAGCCCTCTAGAACAGAGTATACATTTGAATGAAATGTCCTTGCAGGCGTGGGGAAATGAGCGCTTGCGAGATTTGATGGCGGAAGCTGCAACATTGGGTTGAATGCAGCAGCAGAAGAGATCTCAGGGATAGCGGTATAGAGGCCGGTATCTTCATTAGCAATATATGCTGGTTCAGTGCCAAGCGGAACACTGTGCTGTGGAGGCGTAACAGGTTCAAAGGACAATCCCCGGTTGCTGTAATCTTCGTATTGGGACGAAACGAACGATGGTGCCGGCGAATACTCGACGAAAGTTGGCATGGAGGCATGGCGCTGATGCACACGAGCAATGGGCATTCCATTGCGATCATACTGGATTGCCCCATAATCTAACTCGCGCTTAACAACGTTCTGCGCCAGGGTATTGGGCATGGGGATCGGGTTGTAAATCGCTGGACTGCCAGATTCGTCCGGGAGGAGTGATATCGTCGGGGGGGCCATCTGGGGAGCCATCTGGGGAGGAGGCATAGCGTCAACGGTCCGAACCACTGGGGAAGCGGATTGGCCATATGTCGTACTTGCGTGTGCAGTAAACGATGATGAGTTTGCTTGTTGTGCCTTTGTGAGCTGTTCATACAACGATTGAGATGAATCAAACTCGAAGGACAAAGCAGGCTCGCTGACCGCGACGGTAGTCGCCTCTTGTCCCATTTTCTCCCGCTTCAAATCACGTTCCAAAGCATCGAGGAACAACCGATCATGCGGAACGCTATACCAGTAAAAAACTTTTTGCTTTTTCTGTGTTCGAATGCAATTGTTCTTATAGAGAAAATCAAGGAATGGACTTTTCGGTTCTTCTAGTGTCGCATCTGTTCCAGCCTTGAGATTACGCAGATCGGAAAAGATACCCTCTTCGAACTTCTTCGAATTCTTGACGGGGCGCCCGAAAGCTTGAAATCTGAAGGCGAGACACCGAACTATATCGGTACCCGAGATGTGGAAAAGATTGTTCCTATCACCAAATCAGCCCGAGTGTCCTTCCTCTTAAGCCAGAGGTAAAATGTGATCAAACGGACCATAGAACACAAGATATGTAGTCGCCAGTAGGGAGTAGGAACCGTCTAATGAGTTGATCTGGTTGCCAGTCCACTGGCGCAGAAAGGAGGAAGTACTTCACTATATGAAAAATCATATTAACCTAGGAAATGATATTGATTGACGCTAAATGACGAGGCTGTTCGAGGCGGCCGCCTCCATTGAGGGATGTCCGACTTACAATTGTCCACTTGCTGTAGCGCGACTTGCGCGTCGTGAGGAAGGCTTTGCTGTGCCTCGTTTGAAAGCATGAATGTTTCCGGTTTCTGAGGGGGTGCCATGGGAGCACCATGTTGCGGATACATCTTGCTCAGAGAATGCCTGTATATCTTATTAATCAGGTACTAGAAGAATATCTGAATCAAAGATAAGCGGCATTGACAAGTTGGATGAAACAACAACTCTGTGGCTAGGCTTTGAAGCAGCAATCGGAAATGGGACGGAAACCTACGCACAGGCACGACTGTCTCGGAAAGTGGCAAAACCACAAGCTCTAAACTAAAGAGCGATATGGTCTTGGGAAAGAAAGTGATAAAAATTGGAAGAAAACCAGAAAAAAAAAAAAAAAAAAAGGTAATAAGTTTAGGATATGGAATCAACGACCGATCATGGAAACACTGAAGCTATCCAAACACAAGAGGAACCGGCCTCTTCGAAAAGGTGGGTGGGCGCTGACGTTGCAAGGCTTGTCAACTCAATGAAGAGAGAAGGCGGAAAAGAGGGCAAGAGAGAGTTGAAGTGGGCCAGCCCGGATCCAAGTCTCTTTGAATAACTCGCACGGCGAAAGTGGAACGAAACGAAGGGTGATGAAGAGAAAGGGAAGAAAAAAAAAAAATAAAGAAAGAGGTCAGTCGCGATGAGAAGGGGAGGGGGGGAAGAATAAGAGAAGGCGGAGGATGACTGCCGGAGGTGTTGCTCTTTTACAGCGGTTAGATGGTAATAATAACACTAGGGTAATAAAATAGTAAAGGTAGGTAACTATGTCAATCAATCAAAATAATAATAGTAAAAAATCAACTAGTGTCGAGGGGTTAAGAACTTGGAAGAGGAATTCAGGGAGCGCCGACCGAGACCGGATGAGGTTTCCCAGTTGGAGGAGGGCCCTTTTTCTGGCTCCGTCGTTCTCCTCTCACTACTTCAACTTAATTAAGGTACTTAGTACGACGGCTAAACTGAGTCTCTTTCTTCTCTAGCCTTTGGCCTGTGGTTGGGCTGCGGGAAGGACGCACGACGAAAAAGTAGGGCTTCTGTTGGCGAAGCGGAGACTGGCGCCAGGGACCATCCCCTAGGGTAAAGGCTGAGCGCTATCCATACATGATACGATACACGTTAGTTACCGTACCCACCGTTCGTTGAGCCAATCCAAATGAAGTGCAATGGGGCGGCTGACAAACAATGATGGAAGGCAAGGTAAAATATCAAAGTATCTAAACCGTCCCGTACCACCACGGTATCTGGCTGTGTACGACGAGTGGGGCTTCCGTCGAGTTCCAAAGATTCCAATTCCTGTCGCCCTGCCCTGGGGAGGGGCCACCCAACTGGGTCATCAACCCGTTTTTTTCTTGCCGGATCCGTCCCTCTTCCTCTCAAAGGTTAGGAAGGGGAGTTTGTGTTCTGCGCCGGGTCAAGTCTATTAACAATGGAATATTCGAGTAACCATACCACTATTGTAGACGCCTTGGCCATCACCCCCTCTGCAGTATAGTCGTCATCTATTAATCTCGATGCTTAATGTATGCACATACGTACTTATGTACAAAGGAGAGGGAAGGGCTCCGTAGCCAGATTGTATTAGTCCTCTTCTAGGACAGCCGCCCCTTTGCACATACGTATGCTGAACATGTGGCTAGAATGACAAAATCGACACAGCTGCCCGGAGTGGGACTAAGAAGACAATGATATCGGGAGGGTACCTGGCCGATAGTTCCGATATTCCTCAGACCTCATGATTCCCATCCATGGTTGAAAAGAGTAAGTAAAGCGTGCGCTACGTAGTACATCGTAAATACGATCGGTTTAGCCGCCCGATTGAGGGCAATAATGAATAAAAATAACCCGTGAAAAAACAATACCAAAAAAAGGCAGAGGAAGGAAAAAAGAATAACTTATTTTGCCCTTTCCACCAGTCAAGAGAAAGTATATTTATGAGTTAGTAATTAGCATCCAAAAGAGGTAGCGTTCAACCTCTATAGAGAATTTTTGTATCTACCATGTATTATCCAAGAGTACTCACTTTTGAGACCTTATTGGCTTATTTTTTCGTTCCTTGAATCTAAATATTATCCCGAATCCTGCACCTCAAAGAGATGATCATCACAGCGCTTAAAATGGACAAGTCATGTTAGTTGCACAAGATGTATAGTGAGCTTCTCCTCCTATTAGGAGGTACTATTCCCAACCATCTAAATTTCCTTTAAGCTAAACAGCCGAAAGGAGTTTTGTCACGCAGTGGAAGCGATAAGACTCCAACCATGGATGCCACTGTTAGTGGAACCCCAAAACAATGCCAAGCCTGCACAAATAGATAAAACTGGCGCGGGAGGGAAATGTGAAGCATCTACCCCTTGTTTCAGATTCCATGTGAGCGCTTACGGCGAGCCAATGGGGTCCAGTAATCTCGAGGCTCACCCCCTCCAGTGGCTCCTATGGCTGTAGCCCACTTCTCGGTGCGGTGTATGTTGGATGCGTCCACAATGTATGCGCTTTCCAAGAGTAGGTATTAATTTACAGGCAAAGGTTTTCCGTGAAGAAACCGGCAATTCCTTCCAGCCCGACTAGGATTGATATTACTTGTCTCGCTGACCGGATGGCTGGCGCTCCCAAGATGATCTCACAGCCGAAGTGAAGCGGCTTTTCGTCAATAGGCATGATATATTGTATGGGGATTGAACAGGGGAATCCTCAAGGTAATGCTGGGATATTTTTGTGGGAACAGGTAGAAGAGCATCCCCGGCTCATCTGGTTCAATGGGTGCCAAAAATAGACGTTATATGATCAAAACATGTTAGGGCGTCGAAGCTTCTCTTTCCCTTTTTCATTATTTTTTTTCATGTTTATGTTTATTTTTATTATTTTTGATTATTTGATTATTATCGTCGTTTTCATCACCCCCTTCTCCCTTCGGATCTGCATAGACCATAGGTTGGCGGCTAGCAGCAACGCCTTTCTTGTTAATAATAATCAGGGTAGAGTTAACCTGCCACGATCTACTGATGGTTTCAGTCCCCTGATTTTGACTCAGTTTCTACAAACCGCTTACTACATACAGACAATACTGAGCAATGGACATCAAGCTAAATTTCGGCCCTATACAGCCTCATTAGCTTTACTCGGGTTTTAGGTAACTTGTGATAAGTCTGATTAGCCATTTTGACCGGTCACTTTCATATAGTGACGATTACTGTCACCTTTGCCATCAGGCCATGTCAATATGAAGGAACCTAATTGGCAGAGAAGTCGAGACTGCAACTCAGATACCTTTTCTAGTTATACTCCATACTATCTTCTATTGAATCCTTCTAATATACATAGATTAATTCTCCTATCGTGCCGTTGACCTTAAAATCCTAGCGCAACTGATAAAATCCAAAAGCTAAACTAGGTTCGGACTCCAGGGTCTTGGACATGTGCTTTACTACTATACGGCATACTTACTCGCTGTCGTTTGCTTTATAGTGTTCATCTATAAACGGTCTTGTCGGGTGACTTTTTATTGGCATGCCACGTAACATTATCAGTATTGATCACATTCCAACGCCGACTGTGTCATCTTCATGTAAAGTAGAGTCTTGGCTGTCAGTTACCCTGTCTAGTATAGGGTATAGGTCTACGGGATATAAAGATGTGGACAGGTACGCTAGGAGAATTTTTATATTAAAATGGAGAATCTGACACGCCGTACAATGCGTTATATTAAGTGACCCATGCGTTTTGCGAACTATAAGGCTTTAGTACATGTTCGTCCATATTCATTCAAAACGGTCAACCACGTTAGAGTCTAGACACCAGAGGTGATCTGCACGACCCAATTCTTGGGAGAAGATAGCAAGCTTCCAGCGACGATCACTCATCGACAAGCCCTGCGAGGACCATAGTTTTCCACTTTACAGTGTTCCATAAATGCGTTTCTCCCATAGTATTGATAATGTCAGGATGGTCTCTAAGCGGGTGGCTTGGGCCCGCTGGTGGTCTTATCCTCTATACATTGTTAAATATTGTTGCTTATAAACCACGCGAAAATAGTCAAAAGTAATTGGCCCGATTGTTGTATCCCAGTCAATGTACGAGTAGATACTCCACTATTTCGGCCGAATGCACCCCAGCTTATCCTGTATGGATGTGTATGTTCACACAGAGTGACTTGGCGTACGAAGTATGTGCATAGACCTGCACATGCATGCGTAACCATATAAGGGAAGGGACAAAGACTATTGCTTAGAATCAACAAACCAGCCATGAATAAATACCCGAAGTGATTTTCAACCGAAGGTGCGGGAACCTACTTCCTTGCAACCATCCGATTACCTAAATGCCGGAGGCTGGTTGTTGGGTTAGCAAGATATCCGAGTTTCCGACGGAGTTATCAACAAGGCAGATCTGATGATATCATTAATTGCTAAAGAATACTCCTGGAAGCTAGGCAGGCACAGGACCCAGGTATTAAGAAGACTAGAACAGCTTCGTTTGGGCCTTTCCCCATCCACAAGTGGACTTACTGTGGCTACGGAAGCAATCAATAGTACCTTAACTCCTTTCGGATTCCCCCACTTTGGGCAACTGAAAGAGGTAATTGTGCCTGGGCTAGACTACAAACAGCTTAGGGTTTCTTTGCACGACGGACATACTGCAATGCGCGGAAAGGATTACGGTTGTCTCATCCCCCAAAGTCACTAGTTCAAGAAAAGTGAGAAGAAATTTTCTCTGTTTTCCTTTTCTTTTTGTCAAAGGAAAATTCTTTTCTTTCTTATTTCCCACTAGGGAGTAGTAGATGCGATGATCATTGAGAAAAGATGGAACCTGGTCTTTGGCCCGCTCGGTACGACGAGCTCTTGCTTGATCGGCCATGGTGAAACGATCTAGAAAATTTTCTCTGAATATTCAACTGTTCATGTTTACGAGGTCATTGTGTAAGTCTTGGGTACTATTAATATCACAAGTTCGAACTTTTGATATCATGAAGCCACCGTCTCAATGGTTGCATCCTACTTAACATATACTTTGCCAAAACATAGTCTGAGAAAACATGAATACTACCTTGGTCAGATTTAGTGCAACAAGAGATTAGTCGGTGTTGTTGTATACTAGCTTGGGGTCTTTTTTTCCTTTTGCTTTTTTTTTTCCCATGCTTTCTATCCTTTCTACTTCCTGCGTCCCCCTCCCCACAGTTTGAACCAAAATTCGAGGCTCCTGGATTTCAACCTATCCCATATGGAGTAACTCACAAACAGGGAACTGTCCAACTGAACGATTGGAGCATTTGGTCTCCGGTAGACTTAGCACATCTTGGCGCTACTAGACTGCGGGTGACCAAAGACATTTTCCGAAGTTCTCCCCTGGTAACACCAGATAAATCGGCCCTAGCTTCTTCGTGTCGAGTCTAGGAGAACAAAGTACAGATGTGGACTAACCAGGACAGAGTAGCATTGGCACATGAGAAAGGTTGCCAAGAGGCTGGTTATGCACTAGACGCAGTGATTACGCATTCTTTGTTTTTCTTTGTGTACTCTAAATGGCACTTTCAGATACTATCGGCTTTAGTGTTGCCAGTACCATGACCACAGTTTCAAGTCCATGACCCGTATCCATGATACGAACGTGATACGAGAGCACGACGTGCAACTGCGTGCTAGTCAACCTTGCGGGTGCAGATAAAGAGTTTTGGTCAACAGACCGTGACTCGTGATGAGTGTGTCATATGCCTGGCTGGGTTCTTTGCTTTGCTTGGAAGGGCTGCGTGCAGAAATCTGAAACAGCTAGTGCATGGTAGAAAATTCCCCGTCAACTCGTGATTTGCTATCTCGCCTGGCAGTGGGCACGACCCTATGCTCGAGTCCAGGTATGGATTACTATGAGAACTGGATGGGGTACTATCTTTCTCTGATATTGAGCACCATCACCGGACTATTCCACCCATGGTGATTAATGTATTAATAGGACTGGAGACGACATTTGGAGCCATGCAGGTACCCTATGACCTATCGGCCTAAGGTAACCGGTGGAAAGGGACTGCAAGCTTGGAGTGGAACTCTTACGACCTGGATTGGTGCCACTGGAGAGACTATAAACTCAATTATAACGATTCCTCTACCCCGTACTAAAACTCTATGGAAAGGATTGAGGAGTAGACCAATAGACAAAGATTTGGAATGGACCGTTTGATCCGAAAACTGTAAGCTCTACCACGAAGATTATGCCAAGTTGCCAACAGTGCGACGTTGGTATCTCCTATTGGCAAAGCAAATAAGAAGAGAAAAGAAAGGCGCAGTACTAGTAATGTCTCTCGAAATCGGGTCCAATGAGAGCACAGTTGTCCTCTATGATCATATATGTACATAATTATCTTTACTGTGGATTCTGTGCTCATTTAGTAAGAAAAAAATAAATAAATAAAAGCTCTGGGCTCCCATGGGGAACTACCAAATCCAGAATCAGTCTAGAAAAACGGAGGATTGTCTCGGAATTTTTAGGGGCCCCATTCCTAAAACTCAGTTTTCCTCGGAGGTTTCACCATATCTAGGGACTGCGGAGTTAGGACGTGCTTCGAAAAGCGCCCTAGAATAGCCAGAGAATAAACTTCTCAAGACCCAATGCTCAACACGAAAGTCTCAGGACGAACCCCTTACAGGTGGATAGTTTGCCGGATGCCGTCTATCTATTTGTCGTGTTGCAGCTCACTCCTCAAGCCAACACAGCACAAAGCGCCGGGTACATTCTAAATCCTTAGTTGGGTTCATCATCGCCAATAGTGGATGAAAAGGATTCGCGAAGGATGGATAAATGCGGTGGCGAGCACAGGACGAGCGGGGGATTGGCAGTAAAAATTCCATAGTTGCCCATGTGAAGATAAAGGCGATACCAAAGCCCCCAATCCAGGCAACGATGACAGACAATCTGTCATGAACAAGAGACTGGTGCGATGATGTTATTTCAACGAAGAAGTTCCGAGAATGTTCCGGTGTAGCAGGTAATTCCTCATTGGAATTGCCTAGCAGTGCTGCTTGCTGTCCATTAACGGCGCCCTCTGGTCTTGCCTTTACCGGACCGTTGTGGGCCTTGAATGGAAGATAGATCTCGTTTGCTCAGGTTCAGAGTACCTCCTGCAAACTTTCCGATGGAGGGTCCCCCAACGCCACGTTCCCGTCTTCCGGTGCTGGATTTTGCTTTAGGTACGGGTTTCTCGAGAATGATTCCGTTTTCTCTAGCTTCACGTCGACGTTTATCATCCTTCTTCTCAGCTTTAGCTTTGATGCCTCTTCGATGCGATGACGGCATATTCTGATGGTATAGTGATGCCTTGGCACCAAGCGATTGCATCCGCAAGTCAAGAGCTTTTAGTCGATTTTTACCGGTCGGCGCAAGATCCGACGATGACTCGAGAAGATGGGATTCTTTCAATAGTCGTTGTAATGCCAGGTCATTCTTCAGATTTGCGACGTCATCTCCGTCATCCTCGTCTTTGCTTGGGGAGCTCCTAATAGCTGCCGGTTTAACAGAGAATGATGGCGGCTTCGCGGTCTAGATATAGTCATAGAATTAGCAAATTTCTAGAGGACAAGTATATATCGTGTAGACATACCATGAAGGCTTTGCGGGCTCTCTTGTCCATTGGTTCCTTAGCCACCGCCGACAAGTCGTGATGCTCAACTACCTCAACATTGCCATGCCCGTCCTCGGAGACGCCACTCCATTCAGACTCAGGCTCGGATTCTTCAAATTCATCGGTGCTATGCTCATCATCGGATCCCTGAGCACATGTAGTGCGGGTTTCAGGTACTTCTAATGGCTGGAATTGGGCTTCAAAAAATTTGCGGAAAATATCATGGCTAGAACTATCGTTCGCCGTAGTGGTTGTTGCTTCGTCGTCCTCAGATGTCGTGGATCTCGATACAACGTGTGTATCTCTCTTTCGCTTTCCAATCATCTTTCGATACTCTGCTTTTCGAAGCGTTGTTAAGCTATGAGAGACCCAAATTCGAAGCCTTACATCGCGGCCTACTTGAATCCTATCTTTTTTCATGGTCACGTGCGATAAGATAAGCTGACCCCTCGTGGGATTTCCACAATAATATATCGAACTACAACACAGTATCAGGTTTAGAGACCCATTGGAACAGACAAGATGACCAAATTCCGTCCTTGTATCGATCTCCACTCGGGTCAAGTTAAGCAGATTGTTGGAGGGACACTGAGCAATGTCCCTGCGGATTTAAAGACGAACTATGTTTCTAAACTACCGGCTAGTCATTACGCAGAACTGTACCAAAGACACGACCTACGTGGAGGTCATGTTGTGATGCTTGGTTCAGGCAATGATGCAGCAGCAAAAGAGGCACTGAGCACATGGCGGAGTGGCTTGCAGGTCGCCGGTGGAATCACCGATAAGAATGCTCAGTATTGGATAGACCAGGGTGCCGAGAAGGTGAGTTCTATTGCTTTGTTGAATGCCGTCTGTATCTACTTGATTGTATATTTGGGTCAAGTCAGTTGTGATTCTCTCATTCTTACATTATATCAAAAGCGCCTTGCTATCTTTTTCCCTTTTCCCTTCCTTCCTTCGTTCTTCCGTCCCTGCAAGCTGCCACGACAGGTACTGATTGCCATTGCATAGGTTATAATCACATCATTCCTCTTTCCAGAGGGCAAATTCTCTCTTGAAAGATTGGAATCGGTTCTTTTGGCTCTTGGAGGTGACAGGTCGAAACTGGTTCTAGATCTGAGCTGCCGAAGGAAAGACAACACATGGTTCGTGGCTATGAACAGGTGGCAGACCATAACAGAAATGGAAATCAATCAAGGCAAGTTTCCCTTTTTGTTTTTTATCTATTTATCGTTTTTGTATTAGGGCGTTTCTATGCGACCTAGGCTCTAGGGAAAGAAAAGCATCTCCTGTACTGACCAAGATAAAGAATCCATCTCGCTACTGGAGCCATACTGCTCGGAATTTCTTATTCACGCTGCAGATGTGGAGGGGCTACAACAAGGTATAGATGAAGAATTAGTGTCTAAGCTCTCCGAGTGGTGCTCTATACCGGTTACGTATGCTGGCGGTGCACGGAGCCTAGAAGATCTTGAGAAGGTTCACTCAAGTAGTCGAGGAAAAGTGGACTTAACTATCGGCAGCGCGTTGGATATCTTTGGTGGTTCTGGTGTGACATTCGATGAATGTATTCAATGGAATGAGACTCACTAAATGAGTGGTAGCTTAGAAATGTGCCGGTGTAGCTGGCCCGGTTTACATAGATATATTTCTCTTTCTTCCATGGTCCGAGCGTCTCTTAAACGTCAGTCTAAATATAAAGCCATAAGATAGGGCTATAGAAAACCGATAACTAATGCTTTCCGATCCTTTATTTCAAATAAGATATAAAGGAACATAATAACCTGTACAGTCAAATAACATTCGTTCCGGGGGTTGATACCTTCATATAGGCGCGGGTCCAGACATTGTTGCCAAAAGCGGCTTAGGCGCTAGCATTGAATCGGAGCTCTCTTCCCGCCTGGTGAACATCATCTATGATACCCGCCCTCCTTGTCAGTTGCATATTTAGGCACAACCAAAACCTCTCACGCCTGCTCTTTTTGTTTGTGTTGTACTTATCCACATTCCTGGGTATTACTTCTGCGATACCATCGAAACTGAACCTAGTCGGATCGCTGAGACCCTGTACCAATCAGTCGTTTATCGCATCACTTCATCTTCGATATGAAGCCTGTCGTGTCGGTGTTGAATGCGTGGTCCTGGTATGTCTTTTACCAAGACAATTTTGTACTTACTACAAACTGACCGAATATTTCTACAATATAGCGCGATCATCTCCCTTTTTGCTATTGTCATCCTCTCGGTTCTCGGATCGTTATACAAGGTTCGTTTGCTGCCGGATCTGCTGCCGGATCTGCTGCCGGATCTTTTCATTTGATAATGGCCAACATTGTTGCCTGTCCTGGTCGTGGTATACTAGGAGTGATAGCTAATTAAGATACTCCTAGAGTGAGCACCACGGATTTACCGGATCAGAGGGTGAGCCTGAGGATGGCGGCGCGGTCGCTGCTTCGATCTTCACAGCCGTTTTTGTATACGCCGTACGATTCACCCTATTTGGGTACAGTAACTAGAACATCGCATTGCTGACAGTTATAATCTATAGGCGTTTTTCGTTTTCTGTTCTTTCCAGGCCTATCTTCACGTGCGAAACCGCAGGGGAGGCGCCATATCGCTTAACTAAGTTGTCACTATTGTTATACCCTTCTTTTCGATGATGAAATCAACCGCAACATTTCGTTCTTTGGCCATACTCATATATGATTACGTCGCCCAAATGATACCACGAAGTGGTCTGGAGTGGAATGTGATAAAACGTACATGCAGTGTACCGTATGCTGCAGCATTGGCCCGAGCAGATGATAACCCGATGTCCCCTGACTCTAGATACCTGTGTATATCATGTATCATGGGTTCACCCACCGTCTTACTTTCCGCTGTTTTAGGTTAGCTTTTGATTTGCTGTTCTAAGTGCTTTATTGCTGGGTGTCTCCTTGTGGTGTATATAAAGTATCGGTTGTTATAGAATTGGCTTTTCTTACTATTCTTTTGTGCATATGGCTCATATGATATTGTACCACTAGTCTTAGCATACTATTGGGACAACTGAGTACAAACTAGGGTCCAAGATTCGAAAACCACTCGGCATCACAGGTGTGCATACACCTCTATTTTAGTTTATGTACAAATACGTATCTCTTCCAAACGTCAGACACAGGCAGATCATTTATAACACCTAGAATGCAGAAAAACCCGCCCCTTAGAACGCCAATGCCATTACCCCTCCCAATCAGCAAAACTTTTCATTGAATATTGCTCATCCATCATCATAATCATATCAGCCGATGCTAACTAGGGCACAATCACAAAAGCTCTTCATCCTCAATAGGGTCCAACATCTTGGACATATAAGGGCCATCCAAAGTGTAGCCTAGACGCGCATAATAATTGCGCACGCCAACACCAGAGATGACACTGATTTTCTGGCTTCCGTGTTCCTCCCGGGCGATGCGTTCCGCTTCCTCCATCAACAAAGTACCAAAACCACGGTGCTGGAACTTGCGTGGATCACGCCCATGCAATGGCACGGCAGAGCCATACACGTGAAGCTCACGGACGATACTAGTTTGTTGGCCAGTAAATTCAGGGCGGAAAGTGTGTGTAGGGCTGCACTTTCGCAACCGCAATAAACCAATTAGAATGTCTTGCTTGGGATCCTCATAGGCAAGGAAGGTCTCCCAGCCTCCATTGGCTGCGTAGTCGCGTCGAATAAGTTCGACCTGAGATGGACGGATCTTGTTCTTGACTTCATTAATGCCGACCTCACGGGTACGGACGTCCCGACATGTGGTGCCGAAGTCCTTCATCCTGGCCAAAGCAAGTTCACGCAGATTGCCATTCTCTACGCCTGAAGTAACCAGCGGCATCGGGATATCTCGCTGGACACGGTAGATACGGGTCCAAGGAGGGACCAGGGCAAGGATACGAGCCACAAGGTCAACCAAGGCGTTGGGAGTATAGTTCTTATAGCGACCAGTCCTCCATAGTTCATAGAGACCAGTGCCTCGGATCACTAAAGTTGGGTAGATTTTAAGGCCGTCGGTTCGGAAAGCAGGGTTCTCGAAGTATTCTTGGAACTGGAATAAGTCACGTTCCATCCCAACGTTCGGCAAGTCGGGCATCATGTGGCTGACCACCTTAAAGCCGGCATCCTTCGCAAGCTTGAAGGTTTCTGCAACTGCAGCAACAGTGTGGCCTCGATTCGTGTCCCTGGCAACATCCTCGTACAGACTTTGTACACCAATCTCCAATCGTGTACATCCATACCGAAGCATGCTGCTCAGATGTGTATCCAAGCAGTAGTCGGGTCGAGTCTCAATTGTAATACCAACACATTTCACATTGCTCATCTCACCGGCCTGGACGGCTTCGTCGACGTTGTCTGTCTGATATCCACTCAGCGCATTGTGGAGCTGGGCGATGAACGATTCGCGATAATCCTCTGGTAGAGACATGAAAGTCCCACCCATGATAATATATTCGACTTTGTCGACACTGTGACCGAGAGACTTAATCTGGTCCACACGTCCTCTGGCTTGCTCGAACGGGTCATAACGTGCTCGGATAGCACGCATCGACGTGGGCTCATACCCGGTATAGGACTGGGTTGAGTACTCGAAATCGGAGTCGGGTCCACCAGGGCAGTAGACGCAAATATTACCGGTGTATGCAATATGAGGACAACGGTGGGGTTTGCTCATCACAGCGACAACGGCGATACCTGAAGACGTTCCTAGATGACAATTAGAAAAAGCCCAGCTGTAGTTGACGGACTAGGGTCGTACTGATCGGCTTAGCAATTAATTTGGGAAGGATATATTTCTTGTAATGTTCCGGGACAGCAGCAATAATAGCCGTCAAAGGTGGCAGATGGGCCAAACAATGCTTTTTCGCGATTTGGTTGCGCAGTCTGTTCAGATTAAGATCTTTCTTTGGCTTTTTGGGATCCGTTTCAGCTTCATATTCTCGAATTAGGACGTTGGCGATATCAGAGCAAGCTCGCATGTATCGTTCATTCTCTGAAGGAAGCTTTGTGTTCGTCTTAGATTTGGACGGTGGCGGCATAGTCATCGTGGCCGTCGCCATTTTGAAGAATTTACCACCACGTAGATGGCAAAGAATAGAATCAAAAAAGGATCTGTCCGGCAAGTACTAGGGCAAAAAAAAGGGAAATTAAATAGAATAAAATCAGATGACGATATGTGAAAAAAAGGAAGGAAACTCAATGATTGCTATCCCAGATACTAATCTAAGGTGGTTTGGAGGGGCCGAATATCAAATCCGTATGCGAGAGAGAAAAAAAAGGCCGAGGAGACTGAACCGACCGCCCGCGACAATTCGGGTCCGCTTAAAGCTTTGTCCCGAAAGTTGAAATCCAAACCGTCCCGGCGCGCTTCCTACCGCTATACCAATCATTTTTCTTCTCCTCCACCTCAGCTTTCACACCTCTTCTGGTGCAATACCCTCTCCTCTCTTTCTTTTTACCGTTTCTACTACATACTTTCGCTATGCAGGCCTTCCGCCGTAGCACTGCCTCTGCCCTTCGGAATGCTGCCGCTGTGCAGCAACGGGGATATGCCAATGCCCCGGCCTATGCTGAGACCATCAACAACCTTCGCATAAACGCGGATACCAAGGTTCTCTTCCAGGGCTTCACTGGCAAGCAGGGAACGTATGTATTCTTCCGACCAGGTGTGATTTCATACATGATGCTGACGTTGCATTTCCGTCCTCCCGCAGTTTCCACGCCGAGCAAGCCATTGCCTACGGTATTTTCCCCCCTTCACATAACCCAGTAGATCGATATTTGCGATAATATGAACAACATAGCTTACAGAACTCAGGCACCAAAGTTGTGGGCGGCACCAACCCCAAGAAGGCCGGCTCGACACACCTTGACCTACCTGTCTTCGCAAATGTGCGTGACGCCGTAAAGGAGACCGGAGCTACTGCCTCTGCTATTTTCGTCCCGTATGACTGTACCCTTGAGTCTGGAGATCTGTAAACATGTTACTGATTGACCGCAGCCCTCCCCTTGCTGCTAAGGGTATTGAGGAGGCAATTGAAGCTGAGGTTCCTTTGGCTGTTTGGTAAGATGATCGTGGCCTGCATAAAATGATCAACCGCTGATATATATATATTTTCTTCTAGTATCACCGAAGGAATTCCCCAGCATGGTAAGTTTGACTATATTGTGCGAACCATCTGGAGTCCCAAAGTCTGACTGGTATTCAACTAGATATGGTCCGTATCACCGACATCCTGAAGACGCAGAACAAGACTCGTCTAGTCGGACCCAACTGCCCTGGTATCATTGCTCCCGTAAGTTTCAATCACCCAACATGTTGACGTTATAAATACACTGTGGCAGATATTTACGGCAGTATAGGGCCAATGCAAGATTGGTATCATGCCTGGATTCATCCACAAGCGCGGCCGTGTCGGTATTGTTTCCCGTTCCGGTACCCTGACCTACGAGGCCGTCAACCAGACCACTCAGGCTGGACTTGGCCAATCCCTCGTCGTCGGTATCGGTGGTGATCCTTTCTCTGGCACCAACTTCATTGACTGCTTGAAGATCTTCCTCGAGGACGAGGAGACCGATGGTATCATCATGATCGGTGAGATCGGTGGTAGCGCTGAGGAAGATGCTGCCGAGTTCCTCCGGGCCAACAACAAGCACAACAAGCCAGCTGTTGGATTTATTGCTGGTATCAGCGCTCCCCCAGGCCGTCGCATGGGTCACGCTGGTGCCATCGTTAGCGGCGGCAAGGGCGGTGCTGATTCGAAGATCGCCGCTCTTGAAGCTGCCGGTGTCATTGTTGAGAAGAGCCCCGCCTCCCTTGGTAAGGCCCTGCTCAACGAGTTCGTGAAGAGGGATCTGGTTTAAATAAGTGAGAATGGGATGTGAGTGAGTGGGGTGTGAGATTGAACCCCTGCGTGTGGCATCTCGTCATTCGTGAGCGTCACTGCTGAAACGTATATTCTAAACCTGCTAGATGATCTTCTCTTGACCACTCCTGTACTTTTCCTGTTTCATGTTCTTTGTTTAGAGATGCTAGGGAGTAATTAGTTTCCCCATGTAAATTTTCTCGTTTGTTTTGGCTCTTGCTTTACACTCCTGTCAATGTTGCATGCCGTAGAATGTGAGGAAGCAAAACTAATGCTCGACAATGGTCTGAAAGACGCAATGCCGGAAACAATAATGTCAAGCCCTTGACACCATTCTTGTGAGGTGTCCATGTCATTGGATCGCGTCATGTAGACCCCCCCAAAGATAGAACAGATTAACCACCTCACTGGGCAAAGATACTAGCTTCGAAGATCACCGTTGGTACTTGGAAAGCGGATTCCGCCCTGATTTTTCAGCTTACAGCTCTCATACATGTGCTCCAAGGTGACAAATACCGGGAATGGGGCGCATTCGGCCCCTATGGTGGATCTGCTGTGATCCTCCTCAAAAATTACTACAGTGGCTGGATTTTCCGCAAGCCTAAGTTTGGGCGATCGTCGCCAGCTCAAGTGATGCCAAGACTATCGGAATATGTAGGATTATTGCGAGCAGACGGAGATCTACGGAGTTCACCAGGGAGGCCAGCAATCATACAGAGGAACAAAGCAAAAAGACAATAAAACCCTGTGGCATTTAATGGATGTAGATCACCCAGGGACGATCTTACGCTAGCCTGGTTTGACCTACTCGACCAGAGCTTTTCGCCATCAGCATTCTTCTCCTATCTGTCTGTCTGAGCTGTTGTGGGTACGTACTCACTCACTCTCTATTTTCGACCTTCGTCATGGAAGGCTCTTGACCGGCCGACTCCTGACGCATAGAGATGAGGTTGAAAGAATAATAGTACAGATACTGTATGTCACACGAGTACGAATGGATTCTTACGATTGCAAGGTCTCCCTCGGTCATGATTGCCCAAGAGCTAGGGGGTGGGGCGTTCCTATTCTGTCGATTATCGAACGGCTGTGTTTCGTGGAGGGACGACATGTTACTAGATGATCATCAGGCACAGAGGCAAATCGACAAAGCTACTATACATTACGTGACAATTACGCCTCAGACTTTCGCGAAGGTGGAGATTTTTGCGGCCTTATTAGGGCAGCTCTCGACTCGGGTTTCATGTGAGAATTGAAGGTCAAGCTTGGTTAAGTGTAGTTTCACGTCACTGATGCTCTTTCATGGTAAACTCAGATAATGGACCCCCCCCCTCTGGGTTGTATCCTCCATCTTCGCTTACAATAAGACTATTAGACTCACATTGCATTCTGAATGCTTTCCGTTTAGAGTCTTGCATATGCACGGGATGCTATGCACCTCGATGTCTGACGCGTCCCTCCGGTTCTTACTACGTATACTAAATCATTAGGCTCACATGAAGCAGGCCAAGATTGATCGCTGGCTAACGATCTGTGGACCCACGGGGCTAAAATCAAGTATACATGTTTCTATCTGGAATTTGTCGGCCAATGAATAATGACCTGTAGATCATCCCTCATAGTTGGTGACCCTCTTCTGCATTAGCTGCCAGAAGGTCCTCCCTATGCAATTCAACGCCACCTCTCTGCTATCCACACACAGCAGAGCAGTGCTCCTCAAGGTCTTATCGACGCAGGCCTTTGTCCCATGGAATGACGATCTTTCTTTGCTACTCCACATGTATTATTCTCTTTGGGAAGAGAATTGGCGAGACTGCATATATTGTGGATCAAGTAACTTTGCCTTTCTCTCTTGGGTAATCGATATACGCTTTGGTATTAGAAGTATATGACCCCCAACTAGGAACTGGTTTAGTGCTGGCAAGTTTGATACCTAGGCTATCCGTGGACATTTTCCGTTTGAAGTATTTATAGCTGAGAGAAATATCATCGGGAAATTTGATTTCAGAACTATAATCTCTCCACTGCTGTAACCATGGCTACAGCAAGGTCAGATACCGACAAGACTCCTGTTGTTTGTTCTGTTGAAGAAGATGAGAGGCAGCCATCCGACTCTCTAGGGACTTCCCAGCTTGAAGACCAAGTTACCCAATCCAAGCCACATCATATTTTCTCTCGTCGTAAGAAGTTGCAAATGGTATGCATCGTTTCAATGGCTGCCATTTTCTCCCCCTTATCGTCGAACATTTATTTCCCAGCCCTGGGCGAGGTGTCAAGTGTAAGTACGACAACAAGAAAATATACCATGGGCAACCTTTCGAGGGGTAGTACATTAACCAAGCTCTATGCAGAGCTTAAATGTTAGCATGTCCCTTGCCACCCTGACGGTCACAATATACATGATCGTGCAAGGGGTAACACCTACATTTTGGGGTTCGATTTCAGATGCCACAGGGAGGCGTCCAGTCTTTATTGGGACGTTCATTGTGTACATGATCGCCAACGTTGCCCTTGCTGTGTCCACCAACTATGGAGAACTCATGGCTTTTCGTGCCCTACAGGCTGCTGGTAGTGCGGCTACAATTTCCATTGGTAAGTTTCTATCCATTAATAGCCCAGTGCCAGGTATGAGCTACTCACAGGTTCACTCCTTAGGCGCAGGTGTCATTGGTGATATCACCACTTCAGCGGAAAGGGGAAGCCTTGTGGGTATATTTGGAGGAGGTAAGAAATTGCTGGGCACTTGGTACACACCACGAACGTATGGATATAAGCTGACACATTGAAGTTCGGATGCTTGGGCAAGGGATCGGCCCGGTTATTGGCGGCATCTTGACTCAGTACTTAGGTTTTCGCTCCATATTTTGGTTTCTCACGATATGCGCGGCCGTGAGCCTTTTGTCTATTCTTATATTTCTACCCGAGACGCTGAGGCATATCGCCGGTAACGGTACTGTTAGGCTGAGAGGTATCCATAAGCCTTTTCTGTATGTGGCTATCGGACAGAAGGGAGCCATTACTGGAGCCGACCCGGGCCAGAAGAAGCCTGAATTGACATGGCGTGCTATACTTGCTCCTCTCACATTCCTGGTAGAAAAGGACATTTTCGTCACCCTTCTCTTTGGAAGCATCGTTTACGCGGTTTGGAGTATGGTGACTTCCAGTACTACAGATCTTTTCCAGGATGTCTATCATCTGACCTCATTAGAGGTTGGCTTGACATTTTTGGGGAATGGTAAGGCTCACTGTCACATCGCCATGGTGAGACTAAGTTCGCTGATTGTCATCTGTTAGGATTTGGATGTATATCGGGGTCGTATTTGGTCGGGTATCTTATGGACTATAACCACAGATTGACGGAACGCGAATACTGCGAGCAACATGGCTACCCATCTGGTACGCGGGTCAACCTGAAATCTCACCCGGATTTCCCTATTGAAGTAGCCCGAATGCGTCACACTTGGTGGATTGTTGGACTATTCATCGTGACAACTGCTGTCTACGGCGTCTCGCTTCGAACACACATAGCGGTTCCCATCGTTTTGCAGTACTTTATTGCTCTGTGCTCAACGGGGATATTTACCATCAATAGCGCATTGGTCATTGATCTCTACCCTGGGGCCAGCGCCAGTGCAACAGCAGTGAATAACCTGATGAGATGCTTGGTGGGAGCTGCTGGAGTGGCGGCAATGCAACCCCTACTGGACATGCTGACTGCCGATTACACCTTTCTCTTGCTTGCGGGGATCACGTTGGGAATGGCCCCTCTATTATGGATGGAAAGTCGATTTGGAGCTTCATGGCGGCGTGAGCGAGAGATGAGACTGAAGGATAAAAGTTGTATTTGAGGAAAGTCATGCTGTAGGAGATTGATCGATTCTGGGAGTCTGGTGTGTACTGTACATAGATACATAGATACATAGATACATAGTTACATAGATACATACACTCACCTAGCTAATGTACGGTACATGGCTATTACTGTACCTCGTGTTATGGCATAGATTTGACTGCGATCATCCCTTTGTTGTGTTTGTTTATTACCGGAAAAAAACAATACAACAAACTACCAGGAATGCCAACTTATATAATCTCGACCACACGTGACCACACCCGCAAACAAGCAAAAGCAGTCGTTGCTTGAGGAACGCCGATCTCTGTTTATCCTCCTTCCAGCTCACGATTCTTCGACCTTGAAACGCGGCTGCTATGAGCTTTCCATAGCCAGTCTGCTGCTAGACCGACCCTATTGATGCCCTAAAGACCCGACTTCCGACTGGACTTTGATTGGGCTATAATTTCGCGAGTTTCCCTGCGGCGTGAAAACGTGTGGTTGACGGTGGCTGGAAGGGATCAAAACAGACGCTATTGCCCGTGGTTACCGACCGTCTCCCACCCAACAGCGAGGGCTCCAAACATCGTGGTGTGCTGGAGCAGATTCGAGAAGAAAAGATGCCTCCTGAGATGGGTAAGACGCTGCATCCACTTCCTGCAGAGCCTCCTACTTTCTGTCATTGGTCTTAACACAACTCCCCACTGTTGTACCTGTGTGTAAAATATCCGCCGCTGTTAAGCTAACTAACAGAATCAACAGGCCGAGCCGCCTCGCAGGCCTCAAGTGCTGCTTCTCAAACAACGCAGATAGTAGCACCACATAGCCGCCCTGGGACAGCAGATCTCATGAGATCGCGCTCGGAAACTGTAGTGTCAAGAAATGGTCGCCGCCCAAGGTCTAGAGGTTCTACTGCCAGCCTCCATTCAAACACCACCCAACAAACCCAGGACCAGCAGATTACTGATGGATTTCCGCAATTCCTCCCGGCCCAAGCCAATGCCAGCCATAATGTCTTCGGAGGGAATCCTGAGGAGATAATCATGCGATTTGGTCAGCAACTTTCGCATCCCGTCAGCGGTTCTTCGCTGGACCCGACTATGCATGATGCTCATCACCCCGTCCTGCCAAGGGCTGAAGACTTCCCAAGCCATGCGATGCATGGCCATCACCTCTCCCACCATTCAATATCTTCAAGTCTTCCTGGATTGTCTTCCGTGCCAATGCCACAGTACCAGGCGATATATGACAGTGGGATCGAGAATCACGTCCCAGAACATGTTCTAGATGAGAACGAGAATTCCGAGGCTGGTGCGAAAAAGAAAAAGGGTTCAAACTCTTCCCTTGCGAATGACAATGAACTGCGAAAACTGCTGCGGCAGTACGAAGGGTATTCCTTGAAGCAAATGGCAGCGGAAGTCCTTAAGCATGAAGGAGCCGGCGGTAAGGCTGAAAAGGTGAAGCAAGTCTTTGCTATGATATGGTGAGCCACGGAATAACCCAATGATGTACCGGTTGCGATTTGTTCCTTACACGCCCCTAGGTTGAAGGAGAATTGCAGAAAAAGCAGCGGTTCTGTTCGGCGCGATCGTGTTTACTGCTGCTATGCAGAGAAGTGTGGAACCGAGCGTGTCTCCGTTTTGAATCCAGCTTCTTTTGGGAAGCTCGTCCGCATCATATTTCCCAACGTACAGACTAGGCGACTCGGAGTCCGGGGAGAGTCCAAATATCACTACGTCGATCTAACAGTCATTGAGGAGAAACAGCAGAAGCCTCCACCCTTGAACCCTCAGATTCCAGCTAACACAACCGGCTCAGCTGCCCCCATAGAGCATAAAGTGGGAGACGCCATGCAGAAGAGGTGAGCTTTTCAGGGAAGCAGCACGTCAATGCATTTGAAACTCATCAGAACTAGTGTTAGTATCGCACCGCAGCCTCCTGCAGACACTGCAGTGTTCCCTTCACCTACCACTTCATTCACCGCCAGATCCTCGGGGAGTCTTTCGAGCTCAGATTGCGGTTGTCATACTTCGTCTCGGTCTAGTGGCGATTCCACCACTACCCTTGAAAATGTAGCAAGCCATTCCGGAAAAATTATTCACCAGATGCTTCAACTGCCAACTACCGAAGACTCATCCATTGATAACGACACTCTACAACTTCCTGACATTAATGACTATGTCCCCGTTAATACTGATTCGAAGGTTGCCGCTGCTCTAGCCGCCCTTTATCGGTCACATTGCATTTCTGTCATAGACAGCTTTCGATACTGCAAGGAGCGAAATCTACGCCATTACTTCTCTGCCTTCCACGGAACGCTAACCGTGCCGGTACAGAAGCTTCTAACACACCCTAACCTCGCCCCGTGGATTAAGGAATGCGATTGGCTCATGTACCAGAAAATGATTGCATTTGTGGCGCCGCTCACAACTCAGGTCGTTCCGAAGCTCGTCCTAGACACCTTTAGCTCCATCTCTCAAAGACTTACCGCCCATATCGCAGATACGTTCAAAACGCAACCGATACACGTCTCCCTAGCAAGATTAATACCGGCGCATATATTCTGTAACCTTCTTCGGCACATGCTCGATGTCAATCAATCCGCCAATGCAGCCGCAGCGTGGCTGTGTCACCCTGATAACAGAAATCAAATGTGGTTTGACTTCAAAACGCTGGTAGACCCAAAGGATATGATTTCTAAAGCGAATATCCCAAGTTGCGCGGAACAAGCTGCTGAGCAAATTCTCAAGCATGATGTTCGAGCCCTTCTTACTCCTATTACCGATCTGAACCCTGCCGCTGCCCATCCATTCTACACAAAGCCTGATTCGGAAGGAAGTATTCAGGCACATAAGTATCCAGTGCAGTCATCAACGGGTGATGACTATAACTTCCCGGATAAATGGATATCGTTCATTCTCAATTTACCATCCGCGTTTCCAAATCACCGTACGAAATGTATCATAGAGAAAGTCGATGCGTTGTGGGATTGCATCCTTCGCCGATTAACATTAGGGGGGGCTCAGAGCTTTAGTGCCTGGTGGATGACTAAAGTATTCTTTCACGAAATGATGCTTTGGCAAGCAGAAAAGGGTGGCTTTATGCGCTATACTCCGAGCACATTGCAAGGCGTGAGTTCGAGAGCGGATCAACAGGCACCAAATAACATTTCCATGAAGCAGTCTATCTATCCAGACTCGGTTAAGAATGGATCCTTTACGGCTCCTAACACACAAAACACTGTTGATTCAAGGTCTGGATTAGAGACCTCTGCCCCGGCAGAGAGTATCCACCAATCTCGATCCTCTTTGGAACGTTCACAGATGGACACAGAACCACAATCGAGCAATGCTCCTAATGAGAAGCCAGTGGACATATCCGAAAACATTGCCAGCTTTCATGCCTCAAACAATGATGATAGCGCGATTGATCTTGACGATGATTCAATGCTAATGACCGTGGGCAAATACGGCGATATGATGGCCTCTGATCCAGCAGATGCTGAAGGCGATGTTGTCGTCATATAAGCTGACTATACATATTTACTTGATTTCATCAATGTTTTGGAAAAATCAGAAACAACCAAGTTTTCATTTGTTTATGGGCGGAGTTTTGATTCTCTTTTCAGGAGTCTAGTTTTTGGTTGGTGATTATTTACGTTCATGTACAAGGAAGTTTCGGCGTTCGACGATCTTCGCACGAGAGACGAGAAATGAGCATCGATCGAGATACATCAACCTGCCGCTCCGCGGTCTTTTCAGGTTGAAAATCATACAAATTTAATAGCGTGGTTGATCCCGCTCTGAATTGCTTATTGCTTTTTTTGAGCTTTTAGTTTCCTGTCAGAGACCGACCTGCTGTACATAGATTCCGGTCAACCTGTTTGCAGATGATCTACTGAACTTCTCACTGTCATGGTTCATTCCACGACGCCTCCTTTTTCCATACACTCTTTTAATTGCCCTGGACCACCCTATTCCTGTTAGGCATATTGCATTTAGCTTGTTTCGAGTCTTTATCAAGCAACTGCGGTCACATGAACCGTTGACCACAGCCGATTAGGAGACAGAGCGGCCTTTATTAATCACTTTCTTTTTGGGGGTTTGCTTCATTCTCGTATACGTTTGGCCGCCGCTCCTCTACCCATTCACCTAAATGACAATTACTCGTTCTAATTAACACTATCCCTCATTGCTATTGTTGGTCTCCTCGGGTAGCTGGCGTCTCCTGGCTTGCTTTCTGTTCGTATATATAAACTCTAGGCGTCTTTTATCGGGGTTCTGAATGACTAGGTTGGAAACCTTCAGTTCAATTTTCTTCGCGCATGTTGGTGATATATGCCCTCAAGCGTTAAGTAACCTCCCGAATTTACTTTCAGTAATTTCATCATACGATCGTTGATTGCAAAGCAACATGTTTCATTCCAACTGCGTGTGGGAGGAACTCACAAGTACATGTCAATCCATATCATCTAAGCTGCCATAAGCTTCGTAGAACATGATCAGATGAGAGAGAATATGCCAATAGTGCATGCTGCGTAATTAATCTACATGTACGAATGAAGTGAATATAGCCATGGTCGCTGGCCGGGAATATAATCGAAGGTGAAAGTGGCCGTGACCTGGAAAGTCAGGGCATCTCCTTCATACGACACTGCTATTCGAATTTCGAATCAGTGCACATAATACTTCGGTAGCCTAGCATTCCGTCATAGATAAGAGCTCATGAGGCTGATCTATCTGAAGCCTCCGGCAGGGAAGAATCTTGGCCCAGCGTAGCCATGTGCTATGATGCTCTGTATATCAATGTTGCCTCCGTTGTGGGGGCTCCATAGCTTGATCAGGATGTATCGCCCAGAACTATGGGTATTAGTTAGCTCTAACCCTACGGGCTCAACCGTGTTGGAAAGAATAGGAGCCATACGGAGGTGGATCGAATGTAATGCTGACCATGCTCTTGGTTCGTTCAATGAAAAAACGAGCGTGGGGTTTCAACAATTCTAGATTAGGATTCTGGGCATCGGATCCGGCGTTTGGACCCGAGGGGGAGGACTGTGGTATAGATTGAATAATACTGGGGATCGGACGTCGTCTTGGCTGCCCATTTCTTTCCATGGCGTATCGGCGACGCATGGATGTCACGCGCCTGAGTAGCTCACGGCGTCGACGGTTGTACGTATTTAACTCGGATGTATCTTCATCGCTATCGCTATCATCACTGTCCGAGCAAAGGAAATCGTCCTCCATCTGGTCCATCTGTAGTCTCTCGACATCCGCAAGAGGTGGTAGGTCGTTCACATATCTCTGATCACCGTCATGACCGTCCTCAGAACGCTCATCATAGTCTGTTACAATCCGAAACGCCGACATCGGGTCAGGAATGGCGCCAGCATTTAGCCCTGTGGGGTCACTGATATCGGTATCCGACTCTGAATAAGAGTCCCGACCAGTCAGCGATTGTAGGGGATGCCGGTGCGCATTTAGATATTCCTGGGAAGGCTGCATTTCGGTCCGACGATTTCGCCGGTTTCGTCGAGAAGATGTATACTGAATCTGGTACTGGGCTGTACGGGTCAGAAGTTCGTCTGAAGTCATGGATACGAAAACCATGCCTTCTTGTATCCTGATGAATGGTTATTAACAAGCGGTGATTAGCCAGGCTGCTCAGATGTAACATACGGAGCATCGTAGCCAGACTTGGGAGCCTTGATCACAATCTTCTTCAAGCAGAACGGGGTCTCTCCACGATGCTTCAAGATCAGATTACACTGGTCTGATTTTGTACAGTAAACAGAAGAGTCGTTGCGAAGGACGTTCTCCGGCCATGTGCTTTCACCGTCGGTTTCATAAGTGCCTCCGTCACAGCTAGCCAATTCCATCTTCAGAGCTCCGGACACAACCTGGCCATACTGGCCATACCGGAAGCTCTGCAAACCCTCTCGGTTGTCATCTGATTCGAGTTTTCTACGTTTGACCCTCCACTGATCCCCATCCGCTTCCTGAGACATGCCGGTAGCTGCTTCGATAAGGGGTGCCGGTTCGTCTCTGAGCTGGTTGGAAGTGGGGCCTCGATTTCTTCCTTCTCGACTTGCCCTATCAATTCCCCTGGGACGATTAATTTGTCCGCTAGAGGATATAGAAGAATCGACAGTACTAGTACTAGAGTTGTTGTCTATCGCAGCGACATTTATAGCTTGCAATCTCTGCATTGGGCGTGGGATATGTTGCTGTATCTGCCTATCAATTGTTTCTCCAGTCTCTTCGAAGCTTGGTCGGTCCCACACACGGCCGGAGCGATACTCTTCTATCTCTGCATTCAGAGTCTCTAAGGCACGGGCAGTGCTGTGGTTATGTTCTGAATGCAACAGATCTCGCAAATGCTGCAAACTATTTCCGGTAGGACGGTGTGGTCTAGTATCGCCGGTACGGCTTCCACGAGGTACACGAAGAGAAGCGGTAGGATAATTGTAATTCCCCGACTACAAGTATAGCCAAGATGGTCAATATACGCTGAATATGAGGTAGACAGTATCCTTGTATGAAAGGAGCTCTGGGTTGGCGACGGGATAAAATAAAAATAGCCCAGCATTTGACGTACCATTCTGTATGTGAAGACGATCCGCGGTTAGTTTAATGTCCAGAGACAGGAGGGGAAGAAGAACTATATCGGGGCGAGATAAACGGATTATGATGAACTAACAGAGGGGGGAGTAAGGGGCAGAAGAGGTAACCCACAGAGAGTACAGATAGACCACCTAAAATGACCACAGACAAAAGAAAGGCCAGGCCTGCAGTGGTCGGTGAAAATGATAATGATGGCGAAGTTTCAGGTGATAAGTGCGGGTTATCGCCCGTAGCGTTACACGTGATACTGGGGTATAACCGTCTATCATTCATTCATTTACTCCGAAGCTGCTTTCATACACTTCTTTCCTTTGCTCTTCTCAGCTCGACTGAGACTTCAGTGAACATACACTGGCACTTCTTAACTCAAAAGTTGAAGCTGCCTTAGCCATAATCTGCTGACATTTCCCCCATCCAATTTCTGGCACATCCGCTCTTTGATAGTTCCCTGTCATTCCCGGCAGACCGCGAGCACTCTTTTGCAAATCTATTGAGCCCTCACCAACTCCGAAGCACTCTAGCCCATATCTGCGACTTTGCGCAAAGTAACGCCGTCTGGATCGCCGCTAATTGGAAGGTGAACCCCACCGCGTGATTCCGCTTGGACACCAACACCATGGAGTCACAGGGCAATACAGCTCAGCCTATCAGTGCAGGTGAACATACCTCTATACACACGCAAAGGCTTCAGTGCACGGAACATAGGTCAAAACTGATATAAGGGCTCTTACTTGAACAGATGAGATCGCCTTGTATGATCGTCAGATCCGTCTTTGGGGCGTGAAAGCCCAGGAAAAGTAAGCTAGCAGCTTTCGATAATGGACATTGTGCGCCTAGCAGGATACTTACATCTCCCTTAGGTTGCGATCAGCGAATATACTTCTAATTACCTTTAAGGCATTGGCGAATGAAGTTGCTAAGAACCTCGTTCTCGCTGGTATTGGCACACTGACAATTGTTGACCATGAGACCGTCAAGGAGGAAGATTTGAGCGCCCAATTTTTCGTCACGGAAGAGCATATAGGGCAGAATGTAGGCTGCGCTTTGCTGGAGAATAAGAAAAAGGGGTCATGCTAACCGTGAATCAAGCGCGCGCAAGCGGCAGCCCCGTCAATTCATGCAATGAACCCAAGAGTTCAGCTTCGTATCGATACAGATGACATACACATGAAGCAACCCGATTTCTTTGCACAATTCGATGTCGTCATTGCAACAGAGCTGGACTTTAAAATGTACACTACCATAAATGCGGCATGCCGCATCGCAAATCGTCCATTCTACGCAGCAGGGTTGCACGGGTTCTACGGGTTCGTCTTCGCAGATCTAATTTCACACGATTTTGTTATCGAACGGTCCAAGTCAAACGTCCCCTCAGCTACCCAAGAGACTCCAACGCGAAGCATAGTTAGTATCACGACGAAGAAGGAAAACGATAAAGTTATCGAGATGGTTACCAAGCGAGAGACATACTCGCCTCTGATTTTGGCAAACACATCTCCCCTCCCGGAAGACTTCACTCGTCTGCCACGAAAACGGCGACAGGTCACGCCACTCCTTACTTGTCTCCGAGCGCTGTGGGAGTTCCAAAAGCTATCCGGAGGTTGTATGCCAACTTTCTCTCGTCAAGACCTTGAGCTGTTTACTAAACTCGCCCGTGACGGCCATCAAGAATTGAAATTGGATATCAGCACCCTCGACTCGGAGTTCTTGCGCACCTTTTTGCAGAATCTCGGAAGCGAACTAAGCCCCGTTGCCGCCGTTGTCGGTGGTAAGTTAGCTCAGGACGTGATCAATGTATTGAGCGTCAGAGAGCAACCTATACAGAACCTCTTGCTCTTTGACGGCGAGAAGTCCCTCGCTCCTATCTACCCCTTGCACCCATTCTTCCCTCCAGAAGTCGAGAATGTCATGCCCGCCATTCCTCCTGCCGCGAATCCGATCCCTTTGAACGGCAATCTTACAATGCAACAACCAATGATTCTTCCCTCGGGAGCAAACGTCTGAATACGAGGAGAGGAGAAACATTGACGTTAATGATAACTAACATTTTGTATTCTATAAGATCCTCGCGCATTTTTTTTTTTTTTTCTGCCATTAAGGTCCCTCGCCGTTTAGGGCATGATTACGATTTGTATGATAGACCAAATGAACGTATTATGATCTTCTTATTTACACAACTTGATTCTGCAAGATAATTGGAAAGAACATGAATGAGACGGACTTAATACAAAGGGTCTCTTGTCGAGAAAGCTCATACTATCAACCTCTCGTAGTCTCTTTTCCGACTAAAGGAGAACTCTCCTCATCAGTGACCCTTTTGGAACCTATGGTATGGCTGTCACCAGCTGCTTTGCTGTCATCTTCCTCATCAGATATCAGGCCTTCTAGCTCGTAGGCCTCTGCGTCATGAATGTGCTGTGCTTCAGAGTTTGAGCGAGCATGGCCGTTGAGGAAGCCGCCATTTACGTGAGTCGCGCCCTGAGCTATCTCTTCCTCGCTGGAGGAGCGAGTAGGTGCGGTCTTCCCAGAGTCGGGCCATGCGTGTACGGCATAGATGTGGAGGAGAATGTTGACAACTAGATATCATGTTAGGAAGAGTAAAACGGTAGAGAATGTCTAGAAATGCTCAACATACAAAGGAAGAGAATGAAGGCGATGCTGTACAAGATCAAAACGTATGACACATGCGTGATTCCTGCGTCATGCAGGAGCTGCATCTGCTCCTCTGTGGCGCCCATGAAAAGGAAGCCCGAAGCATACAAGAGCTGCATGTTGTTAGCCAAAACAGATCCTCTTTCGGGTAAGTTGCATTCCGATAAAACTGGAATACTTACGAATGGTGTCAGGTACTGGAAGCTGTTGGGGTCCGAGCCATCCAAACTCAACGTGCCCCGATCCCTCAAGACAAAGGAAATCTCAATGATTCTTGTTAAGCCGGCCGCCATCAGTGTATAACCAAAGACAGTGTGAATCATTGTGCTAATTTCCAAGTGCTGCGGATGGGCAGACATGGCATAGCCAGTTAGAAGAATGACAATAGCTGGAATCAAATTCCGCTTTGGTCGACCGTTGCGGTTACGACTCAGCCATATGCCTAAAAGGCCAGCACACCACCAGACAATTCCCATAGTAGTGTGTTGCAGATCGTTATGGCCCCAGTCACTTCCCCATCGATGCTCTGTGAAAGTATTGACACATCCCCAAGCGGCAATAATTAACGAGTCGAAGAATTCCTGGCTTCGGCCCGAGCGACGTAGCCAAAACTGGCCGACAAGAAGAAGGATGGTGAGCATGATTCCGTAGGCAATGAAGGCGCTGCCCATGATAAAGTGAGCTAAACATTGTCCCAGATGATCATCGTGGCAGAAGCCCATTGCAGTTATGCCGCCAAACAACATCTGAACCCAACTAATAACTGGCATCGCCTTGCCAATAACGCCATGTATAACAACAATAACCCGGCGAATACGTCCATGGATACCTTTTGAAAGGTGTAGCTTGAGGTAGAATCCAATGACAACTTGTACTACCATCATAAGCATCAAGGTGTTTGCGAAGGATGCGTGAATATTCTTTGAAAACTGGCGGCCTTTATGGGCATGGCCCAGGAAATAGGCTACAATTGCGATTATCGTGCCAACTATTTGTAGAGGAACATGCCATCGTGAACGTACAATCTGCAAACATACACATATAGGGTTAGATAATTGTTGCACCCGACCGGAGGAAAAAGCAAGACATACCCCTAAAACCATTCCCAGTGGAAATATGATGCCAAAGGCAAATCCCATCAGAATCATATGCACCCATAAAGTCGAGTCCTGTCACCTTCGTCAGTCTTGTCCGATGGGATCGGTCTATCGTCTAAGGCACGTACAATGGGTTCTCCCGAGATAGCGGCACCCTCGGGAACATTTTCATGGCCACCATGGGCCAGTGCGGGTGAGACCAGAAGTAGTACAGCGAGTAACCCCCGCGGGTCTGGTTTACTCAGCATCATCTTCACGATGCTGCGAAGTAACTGAAATGAGAGGGAGAAGGTAGGGGAGGGAAGGAACTTTAGACGGAGGTCGATTTGGGCAAAGGATAAGAGGATAAGCCTTTAGCACGGATAGTCGGGGAAAGAGCAAATCGGCCGTCTCGGATTGGCGGGGCCAGGCTCCACTGCTTAGTGCCCGTACTAACCTCAGTCTAGTTAGTAGAAAGTCATTGGTGTACCTTGTTATCCATACCAGGCATACGGAGTACTACGTACTAGACTCCAACAATCTACAACCATGGTATTCTCCTGATTAGTGACCTTCGGTGGTTTACCAGTGGACCAGGCTAATTAAATATCAAGACGTCCGGGGATGAAACGGTTACAACCGAAAGCGGTAACAAATCACCTTTTACCAATGAGCAACAGACACACAGGGAAAAGCGTTTAGTATGTGACCTTTTTATTTGCTTTGACCCTTCTTTTCTCGAACTGAAAGTTAGTGGAAAAGTTGACGATAAAAACTGACGGAATTTCAGGCCTCTCTATATACCTCGGTCGCCGACTTGGAGGCTGAAGTGGCACGTATGGAAGCTCAACTGGCTGAAATAAAGGCTCGATTAAAGTATGGACACCATGACATTGGCTCAAATCTTACAAGGATGATGCGTAACAGTAGAGCAAATTCTAGGAACGCCCCTTGTGTGACTGTCCAGCGACATATCCATCTTCTTCATGAATACAATGAAATTAAGGATATTGGACAAGGCCTGACGGGTCTTATTGCTGATGCGCGCGGAGTGCGCCAGATTGAAGTGCAGAGAGAATATGGGGTCAATGACCGGGATTGAAAACTGTGAACTGTGAGTTAAACAAATATTATGTTGTCTAGGTGCTCTGGAATTTATTTTGTAGAAAGCTTTAAATCTCAGAGCCCTAACGTTACGCGCAAGGAAAAAAAAGGAAAAAGAAAGAAAGAAAAAGAGTATATCCTCTCACTTGTCTTAGAGCTATGTTTCTATTACGTATGTAAAATATTTCTTGTCTTGAATGATTAATGTAGCAGAATATATTTTTCTTTTCTTTTTTGGTTCACGTTTCATTCTTTTCTATGAGACGCCAACACACCCTCACCAATAGTCTATGCATCATACATTTGATAAATGTGAGAGGAGAGAAAACAGAAGATGAAGAGCGTATATGAACTTCAGAACACAGGATATCATAAACACATCATATCAACACGATCCTGTGTCAGTGTATAGGAGCAATCGAGATCATGAGAGGGTATTTTAGAAGGTATGTGTAAAACATTAAAATTAGTGATCTTTGCCCAAACTTTGTAGGTTGACTAGTTCATAGTAACGGCCTTTGTTACGGACCAGTTCTTGGTGTGTTCCGCTTTCGACAATCTTGCCCTGGTCAAACACGTAGATAACATCGGCTTTCTGGATGGTACTCAGTCGGTGAGCAACAGCAATTGTAGTTCGACCCTTGGCGGCGGCATCCAGCGCTGCCTGTACAACTTTTTCGGATTCGGAGTCGAGAGCCGAGGTGGCTTCATCTAGAAGGAGGACCTTAGGGTCACGGAGAAGGGCGCGGGCAATAGCAACTCGTTGCTTTTGCCCACCAGATAACATGCCTCCTTTATTGCCAACCACGGTGTTGAATCCTTCCCTGTAGGTCTATCGTCAGTAAAACCGCGCGAGAGTTGTCTAGAAAGGGGTAAATATTGACTGAGAGGTGTAAAATGGGGACTTACGGAAGAGACATGATGAAATCATAGATATTGGCATCCTTGCATGCCTTAACCACTGCCTCTTCCGGAGTATGGTCTTGATCAACGCCCAGCAAGATATTCTCTTTGATAGTCCCCTGATACAAGGTCGGCTCCTGACTAACCAGTGACAAAAAGCTTCGGTAAGAATTAACATTGAGTTGGGTAATGTCCTGGCCATCCGCAAGAACAGATCCAGACAGAGCATCATAGAAACGCTCAAGCAGCGCAATAGTAGTACTCTTTCCACATCCACTGGGACCAACGAGAGCAACATATTGACCGGGTTTCACGGTCAAATTCAAACCCCGGAGAACTGGTTGTTCGGGACGAGTCGGGTACCTGAAATGCACGTCGCGGAACTCAATTGAACCTTCCATAGATTCTAGCTTCTCGCCATCTTCCGACCATGTATCAATAGCCGGTTTCCTGTCGAACAACCTTTTGAATTCAGCGGCGGCATTCTTCGCCTTGCCCATGTCTGGGGAGAAGGAGAATACAGTCCCCGCAGACTGTGCACCGAAGAGGATCTCAGAGAAGCAGACGAAGAAGCGGAAGACCGAGTATTCATGTTTCCCAAGGAGGGTGCCGCCATACCAAAAGCCGAGCGCAACACAGAAGAAAACCAGGGCCTGTGAACAGGCATAAAGGATTGATGACTTCAAAACAGAGATTAGACTTTTCTTCCCCTGAGCTTCCAGCTGGGCGTGATATACTGTCCACACATCCCGTTCTCGGGTGAGAGAGGCCACAGTGCGGATAGCTGAGGTTGCTTCACAAGCGTAGCTTGCAGACCCTTCATAGGCAATTTTGGAACGGTGCTGGAACTGAGCAAGCATGTAGAAACGGTAAAATCCACATGCCAGAAGTACTGGGACAACAGAAATACAGACCAAGGCTAATTTCCACCCGATAACGAGGGAGATCACAATTGCTGCCCCAAGGGTGGTGCTAGTCATTAAAATTGTGCCCAACGTTACACCGCTGACACCTGACAAATGTTTTGTTTCGGTTGATAGGAAAGAAGTTAGGGCGCCAGTGCTGTTTTCCTCTCTATCAAAGAAGGTGATGTCTTGACGAAGAATCGTTCTAAAAGCCTGGCTTCGCGCACGGCGAATGAGTCTCTCGGAACTGACAGCGAATGCGGCACCATTAATAGAAAGACTGATAAATTGAGCAATTCCAACGACAAAAAACATCAGAGACCAGAAGTTCGCATCATGACGAAGCTTGCCATACGCGCTCGGACCTGCTGCACCCAAGGAGAGTGAGCTGATCGCTTTGGCGTAAAGGACTGCCTGGGTGGGTTGACCACCCCCTGCAAGGATCGCAAAAGTCAAACCAATTAGCATATAGTTTAGTTCAGGGCGGTTGAAAGAAGCAATGAATTGGACTAGTGACCACAACGAGTATTTGCGGGTTTTTTCCGGGTTCTTCTTGGCGAGAACAGCGCTTGATACCGACTTGTGGGTGGCAGAACGTCCGATTCCAGAGTAAACCTTTTCGTCTCCAACGTCCACAAAAGAAGCCGAACCACTGTCAGCAGTCTTAATACGGGACATTTGCTCTTTGGGTAGCTCGTCGTCATCTTCAACCTCATCATCCAGAGCTTCTGCGTCCTTCTCTTCCTTGATGCGCTGAGCCTCTACAAGGTTATTGTAGGTACCCTTGCGATCGACCAGTTCATCATGTGTGCCCTGTTCTACAATTCGGCCATCGACCAAGACAACAATATTGTGGGCGGTTTTTATAGTCGATAGGCGATGAGCAATAACAATAGTGGTTCGACCCTCTGCAGCTTTATCAAGAGCAGCCTGAACAACACCTTCTGATTTGGTATCCAATGCAGACGTAGCTTCGTCAAGCAAAAGAATCTTTGGGTCACTGACGATGGCACGGGCAATGGCGATCCGCTGTTTTTGACCACCAGATAGCAAGAATCCGCGCTGGCCGACATTGGTCTCGTACCCTTCTGGCAAAGCACTGATGAAGTCATGAGCATTGGCCATTCTCGCCGCGTTCTCGATCAGTTCACGGATCTTTTCATCTGACTCGTTCTCATAATCCGTGCCAATAAGCCCATACTGGATATTCTTGTAGATCGTAGTGCCAAAAAGGATAGGCTCCTGGCTAACCAACGAGATTTGCTGACGCAGCCAACGAAGGTTGAGCTTCTGAAGATCGTAGCCATCTAAAAATATTTGACCACCGACAGGAAAGTAAAAACGCTCAACCAACCCAACAACAGTACTTTTTCCAGATCCTGAAGGGCCTACTAAGGCTGTAGTTTTACCGGCAGGCATTGTTAAGGAAACGCCGTCCATGATTGTCACTTCAGGTCGCGAAGGGTAGATGTGTTTGACGTCGCGGAACTCAATGTTGCCTTCAACGTGATCGGGTGTCTCTCCTTCATCTGAGTACGGATCCAATGGCGAAGGACGATCAATTGTAGTATAGATCTTGACAGCTGCCGCCACAGCATTCGTAAATGCTTGAGCGTTCGGGCTGACATTTCCCAAACTGAACGAGCCTATCAAAATCGCCATTAATACAGTGAGGACCTGACCAACATCAACCTCTCCATTAACAAGGAACCGGGAGCCCATCCAAAAGCCAAGGCCATAGTTGGAGAACATGATACCAAACATTCCGCCAATCATGAAGCCAAGTATGAGTTGGTTCTTGACCCCCCACTTTTCTGCTTCTGCCAGGTGAGCCTCGTATTGCTTGGCAAGCTTATCCTGAGTGCCGAATGCAGTGGCGTTCCGAATGGAGCTGATCACCTCCTCCGCAACAGTGCCACCAGCACCATAACTCTCCAGGGATTTCTTGCTGTACTTCACGATAAAGCGAGATCCACCTCCCATAACCAACACAAGGGCGACAATCGTCGAGCTGCAGATCAGTGCCAGTTTCCAATACTTGACATATGCGACAATAAAGGCGGTAACAAATGTGGAGATGGCCGTAAGTGTAAGTCCAACTTTCTCAGAGATACCGTCCTGGATAAGGTTTGTGTCGGCGGTGATGCGTGTGGTCACTTCACCAGCACCCAGTTTATCAAAATATGCCATGTTTTGCCGCAGGATGGACTCGAGATAATGCTCGCGGATCTTCTGGCTGATATGCTCCCCAGTATAAATGAATCCAACGGTGCTGATATAGACCGTGACAAATTCAGCGATACCGAGATATACGAAGTACAAGACATTCTTTGTCAGTTGGTGATAGAAGTCATCATATGAAATAAGATCTGCCACCCTGTTTGACATAGCCGAGGCCAATGAACCAAAAAGGATCTAACAAGTGGTCAGCGTATAGTTTTAGTGCAAGGGCCTAGTTAAGACATACAGTAAACAGCGGTAATGCTGCACCGGCAGCGATGGCACAAATCGCGCTTATGAACATGATGAGTATATCCATTCTAGATGCATAGCGGAAAAGAGCAAAGAACGACACTTTCACTTCGTCCGCATCGATCTGTTTCTTCAGGATCTGCTTCTCATGTTCTGGTAGATGAGAATAAAGAGCATCATCATCATCATTATCATTGCCTCTATCACTCTTATGGGAGGATGAAGGACGGGAACCCTGCTGCTTGGCCGTTGGCGGAGCAATCGTTGAGTCGGAAGCAGAATTACTAACAGACTTCTCACTTTCGATAGCAGTAGCTGGGGGAGAACCACCAGCTTTCTCTGTTGATTTCATTTTGCTTGAAGAAGCGAGACTGAGTTCGCAGTCTGTGTATAATCGCACAAGGGTCCCGATAATCACCTTACTCCATGAGGAAGACGGATGAAGGCCAGCTCGAATTAATTCGCCTGTTATGAGCTGCTCAAATAATGAATCGTCAATTGAAGGGCTGTGAGTGTTTTCACCAAAAGTAGCTTGAACGTTGGACGCGCGATGCCTTACGCGCGTGAACAAGGAAAGAAGGAAGGAGATAAATTGTTATCCCAAGAGGGGCACAACGAAGGGGAGAAACGAATCTTTGAGTTATTAGAGGCTACTGTTAAATAAACTATATAAGGATCAAAATAAAGGAGGTAAAAGGGAAGAGTCAACAGAGTGTCAAAGGGAGAAAGGGGGATATTTAGAGACCTCGACGGATTT